AACTTTTGAACGGTTAGTGCTAGGGCTGTCATATTTCACATGTGTTTTTCTTGTATAAAGTCTTTTTTGGGGGGCACCATTAATTTTGACCATTTGACCTTGACCTTAATGTTTGACTTACTTTTGAAAAATTTCTACCTTGGCCATAACGTTTTAATGGTTGTTGTTGGAACTTTCATATTTCACAGGTATACATGTATTCCTCGAAGAAAAGACCTCACTATGGATACCAACATATTTTATTTGCATTTGAAAAAGTCTAACCTTCGCTTTATGTTGCCATACGGGGGCATCAGTGTTTAACATACACACCTTATTTTTACAAGGAATTTTTCTTAAAGGTCTTGTAGTGAAAAAATGTTAGAAATAACAAGATGTATTTGTGAAACACTGATGCCCCCGTAAGGCAGCTTATGGCGAAGGTTAAAATTTCTCAAATGCAATTCAAAATCCAGACCAAAAGATAAAAAAAAATGTTGGTACCCAAAGAAAGGCCTTGTCTCGAGAAATATACCTGCGAAAATTGAAAGCTCTAGCTGCAATTGTTCAAAAATTAAGGCGAAGGTTAAAGTTTTTTTAAAAGTAAGTAAATCGTCAAGATCAAGGTCAAAGTTATTGGTATCCAAAGGAAGGCCTTGTCACAAGGATTACATATGTGAAGGATGAAAGCCCTAGCACCAACCAATCAAAAGTTATGGCCAAGGTTAAAGTTTTTCGAAAGTAGGTCAAACTCCTAGGTCAAGGTCAAACGATCAAACAGGTTGATATCCAGAGGAAGGTCTTAACACAAGAAATACACATGTGAAGTTTGAAACCCAAAGCACCAACTGTTCAAAAGTTACAGTCAAGGTTAAAGTCTTTCAAAAGGAGGTCGAACTCCAAGGTCAAGGTCAAAAGGTCAAAGTTGTTGGTATCCAAAGGAAGGCCTTGTCACAAGGATTACATATTTGAAGGATGAAAGCCCTAGCACCAACCAATCAAAAGTTATGGCCAAGGTTAAAGTTTTTGAAAGTAGGTCAAACTCCTAGGTCAAGGTCAAACGATCAAAGAGGTTGATATCCAGAGGAAGGTCTTAACACAAGAAATACACATGTGAAGTTTGAAACCCCAAGTACCAACTGTTCAAAAGTTATGGCCAATGTTAAAGTCTTTCAAAAGGAGGTCGAACTCCAAGGTCAAGGTCAAAAGGTCAAAGTTGTTGGTATCCAAAGGAAGGCCTTGTCACAAAGAATACACATGTGAAGTTTGATACCCCAAGCACCAACTGTTCAGAAGTGATGCACAAGGTTAAAATCTCCTAAAATTTTGCAAATGTGGGTCAAACTCTAAGGTCAAGGTCAAAAGGTCAAATTTGATGATACCCAAAGAAAGGTCTTGTCACAAGGAATACACATGTGAAATATGACAGTCATAGCTCCAACCAATCAAAAGTTATGGGCAAGGTTAAAGTTGACGACAGACAGACAGACAAACAGGACAATTACAATATAACCCCAGGATCTTTCGATTTGGGGGCATTAAAAAGAAATTGCGCATAGAAAGGGGAGTCTCACAAGTCTTATCTGTTGTCCCTACATAAATCGATGACAAAAGTTTTTTTCTCCTTAAATATATTTTATGTGAGTTCTTTAAATGTGTTTAAAGTTGGAAAAACTTCCCTCAAAAATTAACCCAAGTGTGTTTTTTCCCCTTAAAAGTGTCAATTAATAGCTATAGACAACAAACGAAGTTGTTTTTTAAAGTTGAGGTTCATTATCATGAATATCAGAGCAAATTAGGTGTACAGTTTACAGCTTTCAGTCGTACACAACAAAATATAATGATTACGTTTTGTGTATGAAAGTTTATATATATCAACCTTACTTTATGTTTTCTAACTAAAAATATTGTTATCTTGAATTTGTTCGCCGACATCGTCATTTACATAAAATTAACTTCTTTTAAAGCGTGATTATACTTCCAGTATGTCAAGTGAATCTGTAAAGGTAAAATTGACACAAAGCATCAAATCGGCCACAAAAAATATACATTTATCATTTTAAAGGATTTCCACAAGAGTCCAAAGAAAAACAGGATGTGATTGTGAAACACTGATGCCCCGTATGGCAACTTATAGCGAAGGTTAAACTTTCTCAAATGCAAATCAAATATGTTTGGTACCCAAAGTAAGGTCTTGTCTCAAGGACTACACCTGTGAAATATGAAAGCCCTTGCAGCAACCATTGAAAAGATATGGAAAAGGTTAAAGTTTTAACATTAAGTAAAACATCAAGGTCAAGGTCAAGTGGTCAAAATTAATGGTGCCTAAAGATAGGCCATATCACAAGAAATACACCTGTAAAAAATAAAAGCCCTAGCACCAACCATTCAAAAGATATGGCTAAGGTTAAAGTTTTTCAAAAGTAGGTCAAACTCCAAGGTCAAGGTCAAAGGCTTTAATTGTTAGTATCCAAAGAGAGGTCTAGTCACAAGAAATATACAGGTAAAATATGAAAGCCCAAGCACCAACTCTTCAAAAGTTATGGTCAAGGTTAAAGTTTTCCAAAAGTAGGTTCAACTCCAAGGTCAAGGTAAAAGGGCTATAATTGTTGGTATCTAAACGAAGGTCCCGTCACAAGGAATGCAATTGTGAAGAATGAAAGCCCTAGCAACAACCGTTCAAAAGTTACGGCCAAAGATAAAGTTTTCCAAAAGTAGGTCAAACTCCAGGGTTAAGGTCAAAGGGTTAATGCTGTTGGTATTCAAAGTAAGATATTGTCACAAGGATTACACATGTGAGGAATGAAAGCCCTAACACCAACCGTTCAAAAGTTATGTCCAAGGTTAATGTTTTCCAAAAGTAGGTCAAATTCCAAGGTCAAAGGGCCAAAGTTGTTGGTACCCAAAGGAAGGTCTTGTCACAAGGATTACTTTGTAAAACTCGGTCATATTCCAAGGTCAAGGTCAAAAGGTCAAATACAATTGTACTAGGGATCCCAACGAATATTCGAGTACTCGACTATCGTTCGATCATACCGTATACCGACTAAAAAATTTTTGGTCGGTTATTTGTTAAAATTTGCTCCTTAATAGTAATCTTAAATTCAAGGTAAAAAAAATGGATCTGCTCAGTTCATTTATTAACGTATGAGTGTTCAGTGTTCTCTTGAGTAAAACTCATGGAAAGGCTTAATCGGTCTTCGTTTATTATTCTAAGATTTTTTTTCTTGTTCTGCCACCATGCATTGGCATACTTTAAAAGATATCAGATCCAAATTGTAAAGTTTCAACCTGCAATTCTCTTAGATCTTGTATAATGCAACTATTAATTAATGAAGAATAATTAATTACATATTTGTAAATACATTTAAATTGGGGGGATAGTTATGAGCGTAATTTAAAGTTGTTTCTTTCTAATATTAATAACAATCATTTTAAAATTGTATTGATTGTTTGCAAAAAATCTCATAATTAAAATTTACCCCAAGCTCTCTTTGTTTTTATCAGATTTACGCTTTAATTGGTTAACAATAACGGGTCATTGACAAGACACATTCAAATGGCTTCAGGTAAGAAATCAATAACAGGTACATGCACTAGCAGCAAGACAAGAAAGAATAAATGCGAGCGTTTGATTTTGATAATCTACATATAGATAAAATGTGCAGTCAATATTATATTTGAAATCAAATGCATTGGATACATATATTTATTACTACGTATATGATAATTCGTTGTATAATGGTGATACCCAAAGAAAGATCTTGTCACGGGGAATACACGTGTGAAATATGAAAGCCGTAGCTCCAACCAATCAAAAGTTATGAGCAATATTAAAGTTTTTGCAGACAGACAGAGGGACGGACAGGGCAAAAACTATATACCCCCGAATCTTCGATACGGGGGCGTAAAAATCAATGTAGAAAAGGGATATGATACATTTTTGGGGGGGCAAAACTCTATACACACTTGCTCTTTTTTCTGTGCATTTTTATACATTTAATTTTCAGGATTAATTGTTAAATATTAATCCAATTTAATACACGTAGTCATGGATATGAAAATCGGACTGAGATAGAGGATAGGAATGTATTATCATCAAATTATTTGATTTAAAGACAAATGCAACAAATATTTAAAATTATTAATTATGAATGTCTAACTGCTGACAAATAAGGACGTACAAACTTCACGTGCTGATACCCTGAATCTTTATCACGTGATACTGCAGATTATAATTAGTGTTGTGATACATATAAATATGTATTACAATAAACATGACGTACAGAATGTCATTATGTCATTTGCAACTGTAGTGTATTCAAAGCAAAATTAACTTCTTAAACTTTTGATAACTTACCGGTATTTATTATTTTAATTAGGCACTGTTATTCATATTCGGAAACTAAATGCGTTTTGTTTTTATTGCTTACGCACACCCATGCTGGGGAGCAGTTCATGTAACAACTTTTTTTATAAATCATAAATTAAGAAATATGTAATGAGAAATGAAAAAAAAAACCAAATTGAATGGTGACAACAACCATTTGGACTTGGTATGAAGCAAATTTTTAAAACTTTTATTATTCATAACTTTTATGTATTTTAACAGTAACAGGAAAGAAGAAAATGTATGACTGGACCGGGAATCAAACACTCTGCATCACTAGTCAGGTGCTCTAACGACTGCGTTACCCAGGCCGATATCCACGACAAGTTCTTCTTGCCCCTGACAGGACTTTCACCCCTGCAAGTCCAGGGGTGGTCTGGTCATGATTTTTATAATGTAATCTTTTTTTGAAATATTAATAAGATCACAATTTTATATCAAAGTGAACAGACGATTTTGCATTACTTTATAATTTTCTTGAGCTACATGTATACACAAGATTGCAAGACACAACCTTCGATCCTTATGAATTTCTTGTTACATGTGACCATATAAAATGAAACCACTGTTCTGAAAATATGCCACATATATATAATTCCAATAAATGCAATCATACACAAGTCTGTAAATCTGAAAATTATTATTTATTTTTGTTTTGAAGACACCCAAGAAAATAGAAGAAATCTGAAATTTTGAGCCTGTCTTCAGCATTTAACATATCAAATGGCTGGGTATAGGAGATCCTGCCTTCTGTGGTCAATGGAGTCTTTAACAGTACATCCACATAATGGTCATTTTGTAACTTCAGGTACACGAAAATAATCTGAAAATAGTATAACAAAAAAATTATTGAGAAATAACAAAACAAGAAGGCCATGGGCTGAAATGCTCACCATATATTGACCATTCTCTTCCTGTCAAATGTATACATTTGTATGTACAAATTACACTATCATGTCTTTCGAAAAGGTGTTATTATGCCTTTCAAAAAGGCCTTATTATGCCTTTTGAATAGCCTTTATTTTGCCTTTGACAAGGTTAAAGTTATGTCTTTGACAGGCCTGTGCTTTTGATGGGGGGGGGGGGGGGGGGGGCACCTCCCAAAAAATTTACAAGCAAACAAAAAAACAGAAACACCCCTATACCCCCTCCCTGGAAAAAAAAAAAAACATAAACTGCCTAAAACTTGATGGGGATCTTTTTTCTAACTTTTTGGTAAAACTCTTTTTCAATTGCAATAATTTGCAAAAGTTTGACCATACTGCAACAAAATGTTCAGGGACCAAGCAACCAATAAATGAACTTTTATATTTAAACTATAGACTTTTCTCCCCTCCCCTCCCACTCCCCCCCCCCCCCCCCCCTCGTACTACCGGCCTGTTTGAAAAGACCTCATCCTTGTATCCAAAAATGAAAAGGCATTATTTTATATTAATAGATATATGAAAGGTTGAATCAAAGCCATCTTTATTTTTACACTATTTAAAAGTATTTTCTGTATTCCTACACATCTTGCAGACAACTGTTTGAATGCATATTAAGAGAAGTCAACACTCTACTTTTGAAAAACCAGGATATCGGCAGATGCAGCTTGGGGCTTTGCTTGTCATGTATTAAAAATTCATATCAAATTTGAAAATATTTTTCTCTCCTCTTGGAAAAAAGCAGGCAAACTATTTGCATGGGTATAATGAGCAATTAGCCTTCAACCAAATTTGTGAAATCCATGACCCTTGGTAGAGGTGTATGGCATCAGAGAAGGACTAAGCTAGTTTAACATTGAAAATATATTATACATTTAAAAAATCTTTTTTCCTGGAAATCTAATTACAATATGTTTAAATTACTTTTTGAGAAATTAGCCCTATACTTAATTGTGAAATTCATGTCCCAAGGATAAGATTTCCGCCCCTGGGGTGGGCTAAATTAGTCATGTATTGAGAATAATAGGCGTAATAACACCTTTTTGAAAGACATAATAATGCCTTTCAGAAAGGCATAATAGTGCCTTTTGGAAAGGCATAATAACATGTTTTTGAAAAGGCATAATAATGCCTTTAGAAAAGGTGTAATAACGCCTTTTAGAAAGGCGTAATAACACCTTTTGGAAAGGCGTAATAATGCCTTTAGAAAAGGCGTAACAAAGCCTTTTTTAAGTTATTATGCCTTTTTCGCGTTATTACGCCTTTTTTCGCGTTATTACGCCTTTTCAAAAGGCATTATAACACTTTTTTTCATGTTATTACGCCTTTTAGAAAAGCCTTACAATGCCTTTTAATTTTCTTTCTCTCCATAGATTGATTCTAATAGGCTTTCGTAGCTTCTAAATCAACATGAGTAATCACTGCTGTTGTGAGAAGATGATTTCTAAAGTTTTCTTTTTACATATTCCTGTGTAAAAAGTTGATCATCAATTTTGGCCCAACAGTGAACCCTACCCCAATGGCTTATATTTGAACTTACTAGTATCTACAATATCTAATGGAGTTTTCATAGAAAGTTTTGTTTTCTGGCCAGGTGGCTCTTAAGAAGATTTTAAAAACATTTTTCTCCATATATTCTTCTGTAAACCTTTGATCACAAATTGTGGCCCAACCTTAACCCGGGGTGGGGGAGAGGATCATGATTTAAAAACAGTTGAATCTACACTATGTCATGAAGCTTTCACATTAAGTTTCAACTTTTCTGGCTTAGTGGGTTTTTTAGAAAAATTTTGAAAGATGCCACTAAATTTTCACAAAATCTTTATTATCTTCCCTAGAAGGATGGCACTTCATTTTGAAGAAACTTGAATCCCCTTACCCAAGAATGTTTTGTGACAAGTTTGTTTGCAATTAGACAAGTGATTCTTGAGAACAAGTCGAAATGAGAAAAGTTTACTGATGGACAGATGTATGGACAGACAACTAGACAGATGGACACTGGACAAAGTGTGATAAGCTCACCTGAGCTTTTAGCTCAGGTGAGCTAACAACTGAAACAACATCTGATTCTACACTGCATGGAGATGTTGGTACATGTATGTATTAAATATAATAAATTGTTACCCCCAGCTATAGCCCCTGTGGTCATGGTTTGATTAGCATGAGTTTACATTACATGATTACATGGCAATGCCTGTGTAATGACTAATTGTGACCCTGTATTTATTAAAATAAAGATTTCAAAAGCTTTTTACTATATATTACTATGTAAAACTTTTGCCCCATTTATTAGCCCTACCCTAGCCCAAAAGGCTATGATTTGGACAAATGAATCTACCACCTAAGATTTGTCTTACCTGGTTCAGTGGTTGTTAAGAAGATTTTTAAAAGACCCCTGCCTTTTTATTATATTCTTAATAATATCCACTTGTAAGAAGTATGTGGCCCTCTACTTGAACCAACTGGAATTCCCTTTCCCAATGACTCTTAGTGGCAAGTCTGGTTGAAATGAGCCAAGCAGTTCTGAAGAAGCAGAAGTTTCAATAATAAAAACAGCAGACAAAAAAAGAGAAGAAAAACTTTGATCAAAAAAGCTCAGGAGCTTTCAGCTCTCCCAACCTTAATCTTAAAATTGATAAAACTAAGTAACAAAAAAGAAAAAAAGAGTAAAGTATACCATGAATGAGGAATGGTAAAATCTCAGATCAAATAATTGCACAGTGTACATGTACATGATATAATTCTTTATACCTGCATATATTAGATACATGTAGCCCATAGGTTGTGTACTTATATTAAGGATCTTCTACTACTATGAATTTGATAAAATGCAATTTGCAAATAAATACATGTACAAACAAACACTTTCATTAAAAATTTCATTTAAGGCCTTTGACTAAAGTAAGTTAAATAAATTGTGATCAAGGTACATGTACCACATATTGGGGCAGTTACTGACCAGAAATCATGCTTTCTTCATAAAAGTTTTACAGCTATACATTCTTTCTCTGACACTGGAAGATGAAATGCATGACTCTAGGCCCTTAGATAATTCAGAAAAAGGCCATACTCTATTTGTACTTACTTTGGTTTCTGAGTATATAATGCCCAGAGAATTTGGTTTTATCAGTGAAAAATTTGTTTCAGCAAAAAGTCCTGCTCCAATCTGTCCTAAGACCCTGGAGCCCAGTTGTTCTTCCAATGATAGAGAAGTACCATCATTCATTTTAATTGTCTGTTTCACCTAAAATGTAATTAGCAGAAATTAATGTGAATAGACCCAGATCTTAAATGTTAACACAAAAGCTTACAAACTTTTGAATGAAATGGGAATATAACTTATTGTAAGTGAAATATATCCAAAATCCTGTACATAAAATTGTAAAAAACAAAATGTCTCAACAATTGACAATTTGATAATATTATGTTTTGCAGGAGGGCAGGAATAAGCTCCAATAGATCTCAAAAATTACTTCTCATTATTTTTATGTCTATAAAATGCAAACACTGTTAGGTAACAAATACATGTACATCAGCTTGTCCAAATTGTAAGCCCTTTTCCCAAATACCTCAATAAAATAGCCAAAGCTACATGTAACACTGTATCTACTAAACTGAAAAGCAATTTAAACATGTCTTCATCTTGACATAATTTTTGGCTGTATGATTGTATACTGTTTTACTATTCTTCATCACTCTAGACTCAGTTAAATGTTAACATTTTTTGCAGAAGATAAAATTTACCTGAGATACAGACAGTATAGATTCAGGTGCATCAATTACTCCTGGGACAGGTTCCCTATGTATTAAGTAACATGAATCAGGAGTGCTGTCCACCAACTTGTCCATGAAATAAAAAGTCTTTCTGGTCACTGAACTAACAAAACAATAAATTTGTATTTTTAAATATATATCTCACAGAGAACAAATTCATCTGACAGCAATTTGTAAAATTGGGAAGTCATGAATATAAGACACTGACTATAATTTGAATTATATATGGCATTGCAGATTCAGGAAAACAAGAGCATTCTGTTTGTGAAATACTGTGCCCCTGTATGACAGCTCATGGCCAAGAGGTCAATAATGCTGTGACCTGAAGAAAGGTCTTGTCACAAGGACTACATATGTGAAATATGAAATTCCTTGCACCAACCATACAGATATTATGGTCAACATTAAAGTGATTTTTTTTAATTGAAAAGAAAGAACAAGTCATAAAAAACATGACTCATTATATGCCTAGATTTCAACTACAGATCATGCATATTGCAAGGATATTTCTCAGTGTCACTTAAATCTTCAATAAGAAAATGTCAAAATTACTATAAACTCTTCCATTATAGTGAGCAGAAGATGATCTTTTTGAGGTGCATTGACCCTCTGATAAGAGAGATAACTCTCATTGGGTTAATTGACTATTTTTCCTTTATAAAATTATCAAGTTAAAAGGCCAAAAATCAAAATTTTGTCATGTACATTGTAAGGTATGCTAAAAATGTGGAATCGTGTGCATTTTAATTTCAAATTACATGTAGGATTAAATTTTCTTTTAGAAAATAATAAGTATTAAAGCAAAATTTTATATGAGTGAACTGAGGGATGAGGATCCTCAATTTATTGAGGTTTATTTTAAAATATGCATGTTGACAACATACTCTGGCTCCAGGAAAAACATCTGTCCAAATACAGAGGAAAAATGCTTCAAGAAACTTCCAAAGCAATCCTGGGGTACATCAGGTGAGTTTTCCTTCCTCTCCTGTCCAATAGCTCTCTTCCTCTCCTTCTCCCTCTCTATTTTCACTGACAGCAGGTCCCCTTCTTCTAAAGGATACAGTGACATTTTAATCAGTTTCAGAGTCTCTTCTGCAAATCTCTTCACAGCTGGCATCCACTTCCTGTTTAATCTGCAGATAGAAACAAGACTTTTAAAAATACTTAATACATTTATATCCACTCTGGACCAAAGTTCTAAAAAAAATGCAGACAAAATCATGTCAATGTTAAAGGTTCTGGATATACATGTTAGGTATCAAACATGTTAAAAAGAAAAAAACAAATGTGACACATTTGGAGTATCCCTTTCTAATGGCCAAAACAGAGACTTCTGTGAGCCAAAAACTCTAAACATGCTTAATGTGGGCATGTATATACATGTACACATGTAGTTATATATATATATGGCAATGTTATTCAAACAAATTTAACAGTTTAAACTATGCATTTGTCCTTTTACTTATTTCTTCATTTATAATTCATTTAATTTGGAAAAAGGTGAAGATAATCTTATACACAATACAAAATCAGAATAGTTCAAGATCATGAACCCCTTGACATATGAGAGGGGAACATGATCCTAGGAGGTGTAAGCATCCCCTGTCAAGTAAGAGGGAAACAGTTCACCATGATGGAATCAATTCATGGCAGGATTACATGTATTTGTCTGTATGATACACAATATAATATCTCCATTTTTGGTTTGGTTTAATTTTTGAACAGGATTTAACAAAATTTGGCATTTGTAAAAACATGCTTCACAGATTTTTAAAAAACATGATTCTTGAAGACTAAAAGTTTTTTAGTATATTTATTTTAACAATCAATTAATTTTAGTCAATTTCTTGTAATTGATTTGCATGTAACTGCTTATATGTACATGTACAATACACATCATGTGAAGAAGGCGTATCTTTTCATCCACTAGTGTCCAGAGAGCTGCGTTCATGATGACCTTCGTGTTATGATAGATATCTACATTGTAGGTCTATTCCTATGTTGTTTAACGTCCCTCTCGAGAATTTTTCACTCATATGGAGACGCCACCACTTGCCAATGGAGAGTGCAAATTTTGACCTATGCTCAGCACTCAGGGCCATTGAGCAGTGAGGGATCTTTTTCGTGCCAGCACCTACTGCGACACGGGACCTTGGTTTATACGGTCTCATCTGAAGGACCATTTTTGTAGGTCTATTAAATGTACATGCACTATATAAACTAACTGCTAGGTTAGCATACTGATCTACACTGTAGCTCTATACAGAGCTATGTAGTTGTACAATCTTGAAAACATAGTCCTAATCACAACTGCCATTAGCTCTTCATCTGTTTTGATAAAGTTAAATATGGAAATGGGGAAATCTAGGGTTACTGTTAAATTAATTTTTATTTTCAGGATTACCCTTAGCATGTATTTCATTTTTTTTTCATTTACTACATATCAACTATGTTATATATATTCCCTTAACCATGTTAACCTCTTATATTTATTTGGATGTGGTAACAATACATACCTTTTTTGAAAATTTACATAGGCATATCTATCTAAAACACTTTACATGAGCAGGTATGTATTTGATTTTGGAAAAATATGAAATACATGTACTTACAAGTCATTTAAATTCAGATCTTTCTCCCCTTCCTTTGCCTTTTGTACATCACATTCTATCTCATCAATGATCTTCTGTTCTATGGCCTTTTTGTTTTTATACATGTGTTTACTTAACTGACAAACTGTCTGCAGATCATACGAAAAGGCAACAGTCTCTTTAAGCATCTGACTAAAAGTTCTCACATCTTCATTGAAATCTGGACAATCACATTTCCACATAAAATTCTCTTTTACTTCTAACATAAACTCCTCAAAAGGTTCAGGTCTCTCCTCAAAGAAAATGTTCAAGTTCTTCAGGTCCTCATAATCCCATTTGCTGACAGGGAAGTAAACATGTTCTTTACCATCGACAAGTACAGTTTCGCAACAGTCAACTGAAGCACTTGGATCAGTGTAAGGTTCCTCATCTGATGTACAGGTTTGTGGTAACTCTACTTTCATTTTCCTTTTTTTAGGAAATGAAGAAGTTCTCAAGTCAGATAATTTGCTTTCCATGGCCTAAAACAAGAAGGACGAGAAAAAAACAAACTAAATTAATCGAGATAAACACAAATAAATGTACAGTCAAACCTCGTAATCTCGAACTCAATGGGACCAAGAATGAACTTCGAGATATCCAAGGGTTCGAAATATCCAGGAGGTAAAATACTTAAAATATTAAGTGCTTGGGACTTCCAAATCACTTTGACATATCCATGGCATTTGAGATATCCATGTTCGAGATACCAAAGTTCAACTGTAATAGAATGTACCTCGGGAAATAGTTGCTGTCTTGTGGAACGATCAACTTGCTATTGTCCGAATAGTCAGTAAATAAGTGTTTTAATTTATCGAAGCAGTCTTTACTTGTGTTACGTCACAATCTGTATAAAACCAGAAGAGTTCCGAGATGAAAAGCGAGGGAAACAGAATGCTGCCGGTGAATAGTTTAATGTCTATTTCACCATGGGCAAATAGCACAAAAACTATTCCATGGTAGGGGCTGTTTGGAAAAAATAGCATGTTTATTCGTAATATTTTTATATAGAAAAAATTCACAGAGGTATAATAAATATATATATTTATCTTTTCCATTCATTTACCTCACTCCAAGGGTTTATTATTTAATGAACTTGAATCCACTTAACACTCAGATGCTTTAATATCAATAAGACCAATAAAAATTCAGGCCTTTCAAAATCAGCCTGCACCCAATACTTTAACCCGGCTGAAATCATGAATGTATTGACCAAAAAATATTTAGAAAAATTTAATAATATTTATTCAATTAAAATTACTTCCACAAGGTACCTCCACTAAGTACCACCTGTTTCTAATCTCTCCGAAAGCCCTGGGAATTGCTGTTCTTGAGAAGAATTTTTTTTTCTTTGTAAAAAATTAATGTGCAATGAAAAAAATATTGATCCCCACCTAAAGTCCTTAATCACTTGGTTCATCATTTTAAAAAGAACTTGTATCATAACACAACTGAACAGTGTTAGCATATCAAAATGATCAAATGTGGGTCTGCTACATGTACTCTTGAAAAGACTTTTTGTATTTCTTATTTATTCACTTGTAAAATTCTTATCCACTATTATACCTTACTACCCAGGCCACTAGACCTTGACTTGTCATTTTGAACAGATTGAATCTCCAATACATGTAGATGCACGCTTTATACAACTTATAATGGCCCTGATGTTCTTGAGAACAAAGTTTTAAATGATTTTTTCCTACATAAAACTGATGTAAAAGTTTAATCCTTAAATATCTCCCTACCCTATTCCCAAGGGCCATAATTTGAACAAACTTGAATCTACATTGCTTGAGGATGCCTGCCTGATGTTATCAATAATCATGACCTCCTGTTCTTCAGAAGAGGATTTTCAGACTTTTTTCTGATACATTCCAATGTGAACTTTGATCTCCTACTGTGGCCCTACCCCTTGAGGCCATGGTTTGGACAAACTTGAATCTACACTTGTCAGGAAGTTTCAACTACTGTAAACCAGCTTCTATTGGTGTGCGAGAAATATCCATGAGTTTCGCGACCAACATTAACTCGCAAATATTAATGGCCGCAAACCATTCATTTCGTTTTGTATTAGTATAGAATAATTCCTCAGTCGCAAAAATCAATTGTGGCGAATTGATTTGACAAATCGCGAATAAAAGATGACGTGAATAATAGTTGGTTTACAGTATTCTGACCCTGTGGTTTTTAAAATGACCCATGCTAATGTTGTCTTATTTTGTCTTTTCTTGATTATCTTTCCTTGCCTCAATAATCCTTGTATTAATTTTCTTCATTGAGAGCATTACAGAGGTTTATTCCCCGAACATCTACTGGCTAAAACAACTATTTAATTATCACACTCAATTAAGAGGCCCTCTAAGGGGTCCAGGTAGAGTTTACCTGTATTACCTTGATTTAACAAAGTATTTTTCATTTAGATGTTGCCTCTTACACTCTGTTGCTGTAAGGTCGAACGCTGACAAATATTCCTGCACTTGAAAAAAAAAATCTACAAACAGAGAAAGTCCACCCCTTCCCACACAGGAACACACAAAATAGGATTTTCAAGCGTTTTCTTAATTATTTAAATTTTACTTGTCATATTTCTCTGGGAGGTTGCCCCTTCTCCCACTGTTTATCTTTGTTTGGAAGCAATATCTAAAGTTAGCACCGTTTTATTTACATCAAATTCAGACACGTTGTATCGTTTTTGAAAAGGGGGGGCAAAAAAAAATTGACAACTTACCTTTAAAAATATTGTCCAAAACCCAATTTCATTGGGGAGAGGGGAGGGTAAAATTCAAAATGATTTTTTTTTTTTTTTCAAATAATCGTATCTTACGCTTCTTGATACATTTTTACCAAAATAAATTACATGTATATTGTGATTGAGTTTTATGATACAAACTAAAAAGATTTTGAAATTATTTATTGTTATAATATTCAAGAAAAATCAGATAAGCTTCTTTTTTTAATTTTCCTAAAAATTTATTTATGAAAATGAAACACATTATTTTTAGCATTTTTTAAACTAATGCATAAAATCTTCAAGATTATTACATTTCCCTTGAAAAAAAATCATGTTAAAACAATAAATATTATCTTTTATCAATATTTCCATGCTGAAACCATGTTTCAGAAGAGATGCCTTAAAGATCCAAACATTATTGTTGCTGTAGAATTCCTCCTTCAATAAATACAGGTAAAGCTAGTTCATAAATGATTGTAGATCCTACCTGTACCCCTTACAGGGCCCCTTAATTGAGTGTGATAATTAGATGTTGGTTTAGTCCAGTAGACGTTCGGGGAACACACCATTACGGAAGGTTCTGATGTAAGCAGATCTGTTTTGCTTTATCTGATTAGTGAATAATTTAACTGTAATCTGTCGACCAATCAGATGGAGCGAAATGAAGTGCTAACATCAAAACCTCCTACATGTATAAAGCTGTCAATGGAAAAAAAATTTATGTGTCCTTTTAATAAATCATCTGATTACAGCACATAAAACACTAAGGATGGGGTTTAGATTAAAGAGACTAGTAGGAGAACATCTCCTTGACAGAGTCCTTGCAAAAATATGATAGAACAGGTAACACTGTTTACAGTTAGTACCTTGGAAACCAGCTGGAAGTGCAGAACCCCTATTCGATTCAAAATTTTGTTTCTTACCTTTGGTATTTTTATGGCCAAACCTTAAACTTTAACAAAAGTACAAACCGATTGCACAGAATGATATATAGATGGAATTGATGGAAAAATCACATATTTTCGAGAAAATACTGACTAGGATTTTGGAAATTAGGTGGGGGGGGGGGGGGAGAGAGAGAGATTAAGAGGTTGTCCACAGTTCAGGTGCCTGTGGAACAACTGTGTTCTAATAGGCCTATCTAAGAATTACTATTATTAAGAAAAAATGTTATTTTCCACTGTTTATTCTGTGACATTACTGAAACCAAAGAGACAACATTTCCGGATTTTTATAAAACCAAGCTTACCTGTTTTCATCACGTCATGCGTCGTTGCGATATAGATCTGTCAGACCAGGGACGTACATGTAGTATGTACATGTAGAATATACGTCCCTGGTCAGATTTATTAAAAGAAGAATATTAGTAGAGTCTTGACCCATGATCACTTGCATTTCGTTATTGGGGAAAAGACTGTGTGTCTTGTATACACTTAAATGATGCAGAAAAAAAATGAAATGCCCAAGAAAAACTTGCCTTTTCTGTCTACTTTCGTTTTAAATTAAACTAGTTATCTCCTCCGATAAATTGGTACTCGTCATGAACAAAAGAGAAAACCGATTCCAAATAGGAATACACATTTCCGTTGAAAGTTCCATGATAATGTATTCAAAGAGAATTTTTTTTTTTCTTTTTTACTAATAGATATATTCACTGGGGAAAGCGGCGATCCATAACTGCAGTTACAGTCTGTCCCAAGATGGCTGGAGTAAAAATAGGCGATCTTGTGTTGTATGCATTCATTTTTCGTTGGTTTTACGCACAGGTACTTGGGTCTTATCAATAACGTACATCTACATACATAGGCGTCGGAAGCAAATTGAAAGTGGGGTGGCTAATTGAAAGTGGGGTGGCTAATTGAAAGTGGGGTGGGGGGGGGGGCTAAACCAACGGAAAAAGGTAAACCACAATTTTCAATGCCTATATTATGCCTATCTTTGAATAGCTGCAATAATGTAGCCCTCTCCGATTTTTTTTAATCTGATATTTTCAGGAGAGGGCTACAATTCCACTGCATCTCCGTAATGGTGCAAATATATTTTTTAGATACGGGCGACTGCAGGCAAAATAAATTATTTTTGCATTCAACTTACTTCCAATGAGACGGAATTTTTATTCACTATCAACATCATAGCCCTTTATACGCGAAAACCAAGTAAAATAAATCTGCGTGTTTACCAGTCGTTCTCCTCAGCAGCCATGACAGTTCTCGCGTGATGTACTGAGACTTGCGCTTGAAATTTAGAATCACTTGTCGGTGTTGATAAATGTTTGTGTTGTATGATATCACTAAACTTCGATAAATAAAAGCATTCCATGGAATATTTTCTTCATAAACAGTGATATTTATACTTAAAGTAAGGGAAATCCTAAACGATCCGCTCCCCTAGATCCCGAACTCTCATTGGTTGTCCCAAAATAAAATCGATCAAGGTCAGTAAACATGGCGGATAAATTCAAGTTCTGATGTTGACATACACGAAAAATAACCGATATACGGATTGTTCTGTATATTTTTGGATTAATTCATGTCTTGCATAACTACACTTTATGAGTTCAGGTAAGATATGTTGATAAAATATCCACTTACTGATAATTTGAGCCGAAATCTGTGCGGTAGTGAATCACTCCCGCACTTGCACCATTACGGAGATCCTAAGGAGTTGTAGCCCTCTCCCCCCCCCCCCCCCCCCAAAAAAAAAAAAAAAAAAAAAATCGGAGAGGACTACATTATTGCAGCTAATCTTTGAAAAAAAAAGTGGAGGGGGGGGCTAAGCCCCTAGCCCCCCCCCCCCCCCCCCCCGGTTCCGACGCCTATGACATACATATTTATAAACCAATACCCAAGTACCTATGGTTTTACGTAATCATGGTAATATTTTATTTTCAATAGGTAACACACCGGTAATTGTTTTCACTTTGTAATTCTATATAGAATGATAAGATCTTTAAAAGTCAGGTATTAGAATTCATGAATTCATGAAAAAAATATTTAGCAGAAAGTGATCACATAAGCTGACACAAAAAAGGGTACATGTATCTACTTGGCATTAATGTTAATTTTTCTGATTTAACAACTTTTGTGCACATAGGAAGTGGCCTGAAATAGTTCTGTCAAAAACCTTCAACATTTTAAAGTACATTAAGTATCCTAAACTCATATACAAAAAAAAAAAAAAAAAAAAAAAGAAGTTGAAGAAGAATGAATGCGGGAAAATATAAAATTTTTCACATACATAAAAAAATATTTCTTTATTATGTATGGTAAACTCTAAACTGTTTGCTAAACTGAAGCGTATATTATTATATAGCTTTCACAAAATTCCGTATTGAAACAAATATCGACGATGGAAATTATCCCTGCTATAATTGAGGAACCAACGTGACTAAAACTGATCAATCAGCAAAAGGTGAATACGACAAAAATTAATTATACGAAATTTGGCTATTGTTTTACATGTACTTGCTCTAGGTAAGACACTTTTTAAGCATTTCATAGCTTAAATACAAAATAACATTGTACATATCTATATACTCACGATTATACAAACACTGTTTCATAAACGTAGAATTCTAGTTTGCGGACAGTTGCCTGTATCCTTGTGTTTCACTCTCAGTAAATACGAGTTTTACGTGCATTCCTTGGTCCAAGTGAATGGACTGAAGTGTCCATATTAAATGCATTTGTTGACCATTTAAAGTTTCCAATGTAAAAGAGATATTGTGTAAACCGAGTAATAAAATGTGAACGTACGTGTAGTAAATTAACCCCACATATTCCGCTATTGTGAAAAACCCTGTTATTTTTTTTCTTAAATGCAGTTCTCTCTCTCTCTCTCTCTCTCTCTCTCTCTCTCTCTCTCTCCTCTTGAATAGTTTGGCTCGACATGTTTTTTGAACTTTTTGACAATACCTGAATTATTCTATAAAATCTTTGATGACATTTTAGGCGCTATGTGCAACTTTTATGAAAATCTATACTCTTCATAATACCAGACGATGGCACGCCGAAATATTGCCGACTCGGCGTACAGAGACAAAAATGCAATCAATTATCTTTCAAGGAGAGATTTGAATCATTATCCGTCCCTTAGATAAAACCTAGATCGTGATGAAAAATTTAATAGTAAGAGCTTGTCTCACACTAATGAGAAGTCATTTCTCTATGAGCATAATCCTTAAAGATTCTGTTAATATACTGCATGATAAATAATTAGGCTGATTGGTTCAGCGTATGATCACAAACCAGAAAACAATCATTTTTGCTTCTGAGTGCATTACTGAAAAAATGAAAATAATGGCTTTGCAACGGTCCATAACTGAAAAATTTTAACAGTTTAAACCTATAGTAAACAAGTAGAAAATCGAAGGAAAAGACATTAATGTACAACTAGAAATAGTGCGTGAATTAATAGAAACGTTAATTTGGTTTTTCAGCTCAGGTAGAAAAAACTGTGGTCTGTAGGAATTGTGAAAACTGAGCCCTTATTCCAAGACACATACGGTATATGAAGAAAGCTGCCAAATGAATACAATATGTTGGCTGTTATATATACGATTGTTAGAATTTTAATGGTTAAGTCTAAAGCAATCTTATGTTAAAATGATGCAAATTTGAAAACGTGCAATCATAAGGTATATACTTCTGAGGAATAGATAGCTTTTTTTTTTTTTTTTTTTTTTTTTTTTTGGTAAATGTAAAGATATCTTGTCATTATAATATGTAAGAAAAAATCAAGAAATCAGTCATACATGTATTTTTTTAAACAACTAAAATTTGTAAATTTTCAGAATTTTTTCCGTACATGTATTACATCTAGAATGTCACTGTGCCACAAAGACCTGAATTTCACAAACATGTAAGAAGTCTTTTTCTCCTGGACGGCTCTGAATCATGAGTTTGACGTATCTTCCCCTGGAACCGGAAGTACAGAAAAGAAGAAGGCGACCCCCTGTCACTCCAGGTCCCTCAAAGAAACCGCATAAATGTTCTGTTCCATTTTCAACAATATTGATAGATAGGTCATGCAGTCTGTTCCCTATAAAAAACCTTAGACTTCAATTCCTTTGATTTCACCGTTGACAGATCTTAAAACAAGGAAGTTACACTTGTATACATGTATGTTACATAGAACATAAGACTTGATAAATAATAAAATAAATAAATGGCTTAGAATTGAAACGAGATCAAATGAATTTAGTTTCAAAATTTCCTAAACATATCTTCATTTTTTTTTTAGAATTGACTTGTTTTCCTATATAGTGCACTTCAAGCCATCTGTTACTTGCATGAATGCGGGACTCTACAATTCTCAGCTGCAGACTGAGGGAGTATTCTACATTGTAATTTGGCCGCGGTGAGGAAAATATTATAGCGATTAAGGAAATAAGAAAACTATACATGTACTTGATATATATCTCACACAAATACAAGCTGGTTTACATGCAGGCTTTTTTTTTCAATTTAGTAAATTAGAACTTTTAGATTTACCGCTTTGATCCTGTCTGTTAAAAATAAGAACTTTCAGAACGTCAAACGTATTTTGCAAGTCTATTTCTACCCAAGGATTAAATTCAAAGCGAGTGTGTGCATTGGAAAGGCCGTTTGGACAGACTGTGACGTTGTCAACTGCATTCGAGGCGAACTGGTAGTCAGGTTTGAACACAGAAATTATGGTCGCTGGCTTGTTTACAGCAACTGTGAAAAAAGTTTCATATAAAATGGTTATTCTTATTGTGACAAATTATCATTTTCCTATTCTAATTATAACATTCATGTCACTATAATTGGCACGTGTATTTACCCAGTTGTAAATTTTCTTTTTTTTTTTTTTAAATATTTCAGTTTATTTACATGCCATTCACAAATCTCTGTCCATATATATTCCATTTTTTCACCATATTGTACATTAATATGTCAATAAAAATATATATAATTGATTTTTAGTGATAAAAAGGTCTTTTTTTATTACAAGTACAACAAACTTCTGAAATATCAAATTTAAAGACTACTTTTAAACAAGTTGTCTGATGTAACATTGCTCTTAATGAGATCTGATACATTATTTTTGTAACTAGGCTGGTGATTTTTTCTTTCATTTATTCACATACAAAATTTGAAAAAGAAAATGAATGTGAGGAATTAGAAAGCGTTTCTGTTGTGTTCTACCTTTGAAGAATTGTTAGTGCATGACAAATGTATTGACGTTAAAATCTCTATTTCAACTTTCCTTGGAGAATCGACATCAATTAACCGGAACAACCGAATTATAAAATCACTTTGTTTCCTTTATAAAGTATATACTATCTCTAATTATTTTTCGTCTTGGGATTAACCCATAAAGATATACATTAATTAAGGACATACACAACGTAGTTTGAACTTTATTGTCTTTTTCCCTGGAGTTGAAGAGTTCCAATACTTAAAGGAACTGTGTGTAACATTTTAATGTCTATATATGGTGTTGTACTCTTCTTCTAAAACAAGTTTGGATAAACAAAACATCTAGAATATATGTTTAGTAATTTTTGTATATTTTTCTTTGAATTATACAAGAATTTTCATCAATTGATATCTTTTCATAACCCCTGGTAAGGCATGCTGATGTTTTGTCTACGAACATCTGATGGCACTATAATCTTAAATTAAGAATATCTTGAAAATTTATCAGAAGGTAAGGTACGTTGCGTATGTCCTTAAAAGGTATGCGAAATTCATTTATAATCCCGTCTTCATTCTGTTAGTAAACTAGTCAGTCATTATATTCAAAAAATCATTAGTAGACAGAGGGTTATTAGTATTCCAATTTTGCTTTTGCTTACGATACATGCAGTACAAATGCAAAATAAAATAAATCGCTCTTACCGTTAGAAGTTCTTTCCTCGTTCTAAAAAAAATGAAATGAGAGCATAGGAAATAAACAGGGTGTTTTTTTTTTAATTCAGTAAGAAAAACCTATCCACTCGCATGAATTTCCTATATTCCTTTTCTAATTGAAAATGAATATGAGCAGAATCCTCGAATGTATAATTAATTAAGCTTTACGAGACGTAACTTTCGTTTAATAATATACAATGAACACTTAATATAACTTTATTTGTTTGTCACATACTAGTATCCGTGTTGACATACATATGAGGCTTCTCTCTCTCTCTCTCTCTCTCTCTCTCTCTCTCTCTCTCTCTCTTCTTTACATATGTTTCATGTTCGATGAGATTAATGCATTTAACACTTCATCACGATGAACATATTGCTATATTAATGGCTATAAGAGTTTGAAAATTTGTAACATATTTAGATAGATTAAATGTACATTGTGATGAAATGTTGTTTAATTCTTTATTCAAATTGACCTATCAATTTTTTGTAGTATTTAGTTACTGTTAAAGTGGAATACATTGCGATGTTGTTGTTTTTTTCTCACTATTTCAAGAATTTACCGCGAAAATTTAGCCATCATGAATATTGTTGACATGTCAATGTAGCATTCAATTATCTGGAGTATACACTTTAAAATCCTGTTTTTTATGCTTTATAATAGTAAAATCGAATTCATTGAAAATCATAAGGAAAAAGCCAAACTTAAAAACAATGGCGACTTTAAGTAAGTCACTGGAGACGTTTATATTAAATACTTTAATACTTTTTTCTCTCTCTAAATATTAATAAAATTGCAAATATATAGTAAAGAGCAATTCAGTGACCGTGAAATTAAAACCGTTGTGAAATGTACCAACATAAGAAATCGTGAAATATTAATCACCTGATATTAAAAACGTTTACAGTATCATAAGTCAATAGCAGAGAGGAATAACTTCTCTCAGTAGAGTACAGATGTCCCTACATGTACATGTACAATATCAATACTGCCTTGCCCGGCACCAGAACACTCTACCTGGTGGTCAAGAATTTCACAAATATGGTAAAACACCTTTGCTCATTACAACCAAGATTTTCAAAGAATTTATGGATTATTACTATATGATCAATAGAGCCCCGCCCTAAGATCAGAACCCCTGACCCTGGGGCCACGAATTTCAAAATTTTAAAAGAGGCATCCTTGCTTCTCATAACCATGCACCAGTTTATAGTGATAAATACCCACCTTTTCAAAGAAAAATTCATTTTTTTTTTCAATATTATCAATACAGCCCCCTCTTCAAGACCACAACCCCTGGCCCGGGGCTATGAATTTTGCAATTTCAGAGGAGGCATTCTTGAGCAACATAACCATACACTAACTTTGTTTAATTGATACCCAGGTGCGGAGAAGAATAGTTTTTTTTTTTTTAAATTGAGCATTTTCAATATATAATCAATAGAGCCCCACTCTAACACCAGAACCCCTGACCGAGGGGTCATGAATTTCACAAGTTTAAAAGAGGCACATTTGCTCATTATAATCAATCAATTACTTTGTTTGCTAAATAAACAGTAGCACCTTTTTAAAAAAATTATGCATTTTTACTATATGATCAACAGAGCCCCGCCCTAACACCAGAGCCCCTAACCATGGGGCCATGGTTAAAACAATTTCAGAAGAGGCATCCTTGCTCAACATAACCATGCACTTACTTTGTTTGCTAATAACCCGAAACAGAGGAGATCTTTAATGAAATTATGCCTTTTCACTATATGATCAACAGAGCCCCATCCTAACTCCATTAGCAGTGAATTTCACAATTTTGGTAAAGGTCTCATGCTTATTAAAACCATCCCAACAGTTTAACTGTTTGATGTCCCAAATTAAAAAAGATAATTTTAGGATTTCATCCATTTTAATGGTTTTAGCCCCAGTTTTCAGCCCCCCCCCCCCCCCGGGGGGGGGGGGGGGGAGGAACAAGGATCATGAAATTTACAAATTTTGTTCCCTTCCACTTATAGATGCAATATGCTAAAATTGGCTGAAATTGGTTCGGTGGTTTCAGCGAAGAAGCTGAAAATGTTAAAATTGAACACACAACGCACGACGACGGACAAAAAAAAAATAGCAATAGGAGACCTGAGTGACTCAGGTGACCGAATAAAAAAGATAGATTAGAACCTGAAGATGGTATTTTAAGCGAATTTCCTATGTATTTTAGTTTTGTTGCTGCTTTGCTCTTGTACAGGTGATTAAAAATCATTTTTTTATTACATTAAACTGCTGATTAATTTATGATAAACAATATTTAAATTTTATGAATGTACATACCATCTCCATATATTTACATTCCTTTGAGTCTTTAAATAGAGACGTCTTTTCGGTCAATCTTAACCACTCACAACAAACCCTACATCTGTAAAGGTCCTCTCTAATTGTACACAGTTCCATGCCAATACAACGTCGGTCGCCTCTACAGAAATTCGCACATTTGTTGAGAACGGAAGAATATGTGGTTGCTTCGGCTGAAAACAAAACTTTAAAGTTGTCTGTCAACGATCCGTATGCCTTTAGACAAAATTGTCTGTGATAGAAGTGAAAATTGCAACAGCAGTTCGGCATAGCTATGAAAAAGAAAAGAAAATAACTTTGGCATTCCATGGTTTGTCGGTCCTTTGTTTTTAAAACTGCATAAGGCTCGAGCGTTCTTAGTAATTTACGAGCAGAGAGAAAAGTATTCCTTTATTGATTTTGAAGCTGACAGGGATATCTGAACTGGAACTTTAATGATGTACTTAGGATAATTATGGTAAATTGGTTCGCTCAAAAACATACAAATCTCATTTGATTTAATCCTTTAAATTAAAAGGAGAACGCGGGATATATTGGTGTTTATTACAAATAAGAACATAAAGCTTTTCACTGATTAAGGATTGATTTGAAAATCCAAAATCTTGTTTGGTAAAAGCATATATTCACTTATTATTTCATATCAGTTTTCCAACCGTCATTTAAACCATAGCTAATTAAGATCGAATTTACTTAATTAAAACCATTCATTTGTGTACTGGCTTTTTTAAAAGCAAAATTCCAGCAAGAATGCCTAGATGAATTGGACATTCAAACAGTATTTATAAAGTGTATACCAAGTTGCCTTTTCCTCTTATCCTGTTATAATTAGATTTATTTATTTATTTTTCTTTTTATTTATTTTAACATTCACTATTTAAGTAGAAAATAACGCATTTTAAAGAAACAGACTGCCTTTGCATTTTTTGATAAAAAGGAATCTACAAATATATCATCCAGTCATCTGTTCGGACACAAATATAATTTTAAAACGACTTCTATATATGAAATATTTTTAATGCCAGTTTAAAAAAAATATATTTTCTCAAAGTGCCTGTTGAAGTCAGTGTTCCCGAAACATTATTACAAATTATCTCCCGATTTTTTTAGCCACGCTGACCAAAAAATTCTTAAATCAAACTACTAAAACTAATAATGCTGGAGGAGTGATTTTTTTTTATCCTAAATTACATGGCAAAGCGTCATTTTTTTTTTTTTTTTTTTTTACATATCTGATTTCTGTCTTCCAAAGCTCATCAAAAATGTACTATGCAATATAGGTGAAACATGAAACTAAAAGCATATCATATTAACGTCTTGTAAATTTTGTTAAATTTATATTTAAGATGCTGAAGTGTTCTAGAAGTTTTAGCTGCCAATACTTGTACCTGAAAGAACTGTCGTTCTTTTTTCCGTGATACTTTTTAAAGAAAGCATAATTTACATCTATGTTAGAAACAAGTACAGCAAAAAACTTCATGAATAAGGAATAATTTGATATATAAGGTTATTTAAACAAAATTTCTTCCGACTATTTTCAATATTTTATTTTATTGTTAAGATTTGAGCATGAAGTCTTTCATTTAAGGAATAACCCCTACCTTTTTAATTTGGAGGTTCAAATTTTACATTAAAATTGGGGTGATCAGAGACTTTAGAAAGTTAACGGGAAAAAAAAATCACTGATGTTCTTAGGTTGTTACTGTAAATAGTGATGAGGAATAGAATTTATTATTGTGCAAAGTAACTACGGAAAAAGCTATCCTACAATGCCAAAAAGTACATATAAATTTCTTCAGAATGATAAGGCAATAAATTATCAGGATTATCATTTAATGACTTAATCCCTCGATTAAATCGTGCATTATCAATGTTATAGTGAAGGAAATTTTCCACATCATTTGTCACGTGATGTAATGGCGGTATGGCGGTGTTTTTTTTTTGAGTAAGGAATCTGTAAAGTTTTCGATTGTTTTGGGCCAGAAATCGAAACGAGTAAGAGCTTGTAGAATTTCTGAGGATTGGATTGGATATGCCACATACTACGCGTGGAGGTAAGAGAAAACGGAAAAATAGTAAACCTATGAAAAACGCCAGGTATAAGACACACACGAGCCCTAACAAAGACGACATTATTGACCCCATTGTTAACAAGCCGGTGATGTCTGGAAGTGTTTCCGACAGTAATTTTGATGTTCAACAGATGCAAGGAAACACGGAAGACGGTATTGGTGAGTCTCTTACAAATAATACAGAGTGTGAAATGACTGAAATAATGGATTGTTTGAAGACAAGTGAAATGATAAACACTGTAAACACTGAACCCAGGCCCCCACCCGCCCATTCAAATATCCCTCCGGGAATGCACACAAGGCCAGTATGGGTAGAACAGATCTTCGAGAAACTAGTGCGTATCGACAGGAAGCTGTCAAAGGTCGACGAGATAAACAATAAACTCTCCGACATTATACAAAAAGTGAATAGTTTTGAGCGTGACCTAGATAATCTGAAAAAGACATCGGGTTCGATGGGAAACACAATAGGTACACTGAAGAAATCATCAGATGAAGTTAAGCAGCGGGTAACAAAATTAGAAGAAGTTCAATCAAACTTGGAGGAGTCTATTGTGGATCTCCAGTGCAGAAGTATGAGGGATAATTTATTATTCTTTGGGCTAGCGGAATACAGAGGTGAAAATAGAGAGAACTGTCACACATTGATAGATAACTTTTGTGAAACCGAACTGGAAATCCCTGACATTGGTAAAGATATTGAGAGGGCACATAGGATGGGACAGAGAAACAATGATATGCCCCGCCCAATAGTTGTGAAGTTCAGTTCCTATAGGATAAGAGAGAAGGTACGCGCCCAAGGGAAAAAGCTGGCAGGAACTCTTTACAGTATCCAAGAGCAGTTCCCAAAAAAGATACAAGAGGAAAGAAAAAAGCTAATACCTGTCATGAAAGAAGCAAGGAGGAGGAAGAAGAAAGCGTATTTGATCAAGGACAAGTTGTATATAGATGGCGAAGAATACCAACCTGATTCCACAAATGAAGCTAGTGACTGCTAGGACAGTTCGGAGAATAACTTAAGAAATGAATCCCTAAATTGCATATGCTGGAATATAAATGGTGGATTTTCGTCTAAAGCGGATGTGTTGTGTTTTCAAAAATTTATATTGTCGTATGACTTGATTATATTGACGGAATGTTGGTTAGAAAAAAAATTATGATAGGCAGTTTGATGATTTTACAGCTTATTATTTTCCAAGAACTAAAAGCCGGAGCACGCAAGGAGGAGGGACTGTGATTATTATACGAAAAAAATTTCAAAGATATATAACTTTTGAGAAAAATCAGCAGGATACAATAATTTGGCTTAAAGTGCGCCATCTAGTGTGTAATTTACAAGATGACCTATATATTGGCTGTGTGTATTTACCACCTTGTAACTCTTCTTTCCATCGGCTGTATGACTGCGACATTTTCCAGGAACTCGAAGAACAAGTGGCTTCATACATGAGTAAAGGGAAAGTCATGTTGGTTGGCGATCTGAATGCAAGAACCTCAAAAAGAGATGACTTTATAGCAGATGACATTTTGAATAATAATATACTCCAGGAATTGAGTGAATTAATCACATATGAAAGTGACACGATTTTACCTGCACGTTACAACCCTGGTAGTACTGTTAATGACTATGGCTTAAAAGTACTGAACTTGTGTAAATCGAGTGGTCTTCGAATTTTAAATGGACGTCATAATTAAGCATGGATAGAGCTAGACTTTTCTTACATGGGAGGAAGAGGTTTTAGTGTAGTTGATTACTGTATATCCACACCAGACATCTTTGATATGATAGATAAATTTATTGTTGCGAGTTTTACTACATGGTCAGATCATGCCCCACTACATCTACAAATTCACACCCGTAATCTAAAGGAAGCTAGGACTACAAATAAGGACAATGATGAAAATACTGAACCATATAGAACTTTTAAGTGGAACAAGGAGTGTCTTGATGATGCCCGAAATGCACTACAAACATGCCTCGATGCACTTCATTCAGCAGCTGAACCACCGGAGGTCGAGAACCAGGAATCTATTGACTTGTCTGTTGGATTGTTGACATCTCAACTCTCTGACGCAATGGCACCATTTTGTGAATTAAAAAACCGACACACAAATGACCAGAGTAAACATGTTTACTCAAGCAAAACGCCTATTGATAAGCCATGGGTAACACCCGAGTTAAAGAGAAAGTACAGTGTGTACCGAAATGACCTTCGTCTATTCAATAATAGGAAAACGCCTGAGGCGCACCAGAAACTCCTACATTCCAAAAAGGCATACAAGGTACTCTCCGCAAAACTGAAGCGACAATATGTACGGCTGGAGGGAAATATGTTGGACTACCTGCGTAAACACAATCCCAAGGCATTCTATCTGCGTTTTCAAAAGAAAAAAGGTTGTCGATCTGGCGTGGATCCTGCAGTTTTTGTTGAGCATTTTAGGGAACTGGTAACACAGACAGCTCCATCTCCAGACATATTAGATAACAATTTCGTTTTTAATGATCAAACTGTTTTTGATGAGCTTGATAGTGAAATTACTGAAAAGGAAATACTTGATGCTATTAAGAAACTAAAACGTGAAAAGTCACATGGTCCAGATTTACTGTTGAATGAATATTTTATAGAGTTTCAGAATTATATTTTGCCTGTCATACGCAATCTGTTTAATAGAATATTTACAACTGGTATCTTTCCAAATACATGGTCTGAGTCTATTATTGTGCCAGTGCATAAGAAAGGAGATCTGTCAGATCCCAATAACTATAGAGGTATTAGTCTAGTGAGCTGCTTCTGTAAGTTATTTACATCTATCTTAAACCAACGACTCATTTTATGGTCGTATAAAGATAACATAATTACAGATGCACAATTTGGATTTCAGCCCTGTAAGGGTACACCAGAGGCTATTTTTTGTTTGTCGTCAATTATAAATTTGACCCTATTTAACAAAAAAAGGTTATATTGCTGTTTTGTAGATCTTAAGAAAGCTTTTGACACCGTTGATCGATTTAAATTTTGGAATAAACTCAGCACGTATGGTATAAGAGGTAAATTATTGAAAATTGTACAGGCTATGTATGAAAGAATGAAATATAGGGTTAAAACACCAGGTAAATTGTCAGAAATTTTTAAAAGTCACATAGGTCTTTTACAAGGTGAAGTGTTATCCCCCATACTTTTTTCTTTATATGTGAATGAT